TTGGTACCACATTCCCCCCATACACACATTTTTTTTATTAAGCTATCATTGATATACACTCTTATGAAGGTTTCACAAGAAAAACAATGTGGTTATTACATTCACCCTTATTATCGAGTCTCCCCCATGCCCCATTGCAGTCACTGTCCATCAGTGTAGTAAGATGCCAGAGTCCCTGTTTGTCTTCTCTGAGCTAATTTTTATTAAGCTATCATTGATATACACTCTTATGAAGGTTTCACAAGAAAAACAATGTGGTTATTACATTCACCCTTATTATCGAGTCTCCCCCATGCCCCATTGCAGTCACTGTCCATCAGTGTAGTAAGATGCCAGAGTCCCTGTTTGTCTTCTCTGAGCTAGTCTTCCCCGCCTACACACACATTTATGCTCCAACTGCAGTAGATTTCTCAAAATCTCTTGTCTTCACATGCCCCCTTTCCAGTAAACTTCTTTTCATTGTTTAAGGCCCAATATAAATGCTACCTTTGTAAAGACTTTTCTAATTCTTCCCTAGCCTTATCCACACCCTGGCAAGGTTATCAGCACAACTTTAATTACTTGTTTACGCATTTGTCTCTCCCACTGGACTGTAATCCTTGAGGGCAAGGATCATGTTTCATTTATCTTGATATCTTCAGCACCTATCACAGTAACCAGCACATGGCAGGTGTTCAGTAAACATTTGTTCCATGTATAGGAAATCCCTCACTAGATCATAAATAATAGGGAGACAAGGACAATGTGAATTACCAGTGTAGCTCACACTGCCTAAAAGAATATATATACTAATTTAAACCCTTGGAATAAATTTGCTATAAATAAATTATGCTTTCCACAATAGACAGTTGCTTTTAATGAACAGGAGTCAACTCTTCAAATGTAATCCAATTTCTCTGACTTTGTACAAGCTTTGCATAAAGCCCTAGCACCCTTCCCAACTCTCAGCAACACCCAAACCCACCTCACAGGAGCAAAGACAACTCTATCTTGCAGCCAATTCTCAGAGCCCATAGTATCTTGATAGACATACCACTCCAAGACTTCTGGAAAGTATTCTACCTTTAAATACCACCTGTTCCATATGAGGTCCCTTTCCCACCCACCCTCCTACCCAAAGTGGAATTCCCATTGGTAATTCCCTCAAAATACAGGAGCATTACATAAACTGCAAGCAAAATAGAGCAAAATCAAGGTCCCCCATAATCCTACACCCCAGAGAGGACCCCTAGAAAGTTTTGTGAATAGCCAGCCTTCCATACTTTCTTAAAAATGGTAGTATATTCCCATTTTTACATAAGCGGGGCTTCATTCTGCCTCTTGTTCAGTACCTTTTTCATTTATCCAGCTTCCTAACTTTACAAGTTCAGTGCCCTTAATGTCTCAGCAACCTCCACAGCACTTCCTGGGCCAAAAGAGATCCACTTAGTAAATACCTAGATCCAAACAACAAGTACTTATGTCCCATCAATATCATGGCCATCTAAAAAAATAAACATGAATTAAGAAAAGTATTTTAATATGTGAAAATAAAAATATTTTTATTTCCCAAATAAGCACAATTTACTTATGACACCTGTAGGGCACTGCACAACTTCAGAAATCTTATAATCCGATTGGACAGAACCACTCTTATTTCTTGCTCTACAATTTTTTTGCTCATGTACAATCTAGTGAGGGATTTCCTTATACATGACACTATTTAGCAAGTGCTAAAAAAAATAACCCATTAGCCTTACAAATACATGACATCATCAAAATGGATTTGGCGCCATCTAATGTTCAAAGGGAAAGGCCTGGAAATAGTAGTAGTTGCCAGGGACATTAGACAAAATGTAACTGTGCTTCTCTTGAAAATTTAAAATCTCTCCCTAGGCCCCGGTGAGTCTGCTAAGGGCCACAGCAGTTTGGGAACAGGGATTTAACCTGTTGCAAAAGTCTTGTTCTATTATAAAAATAGACCCTGAGTTATTCAATGGGATTCTTCTTATTTTAGGCAATTCATAATTTCAAACACTGTCATTTTCAAAGTGTTGCAATAAAAATCCTCTACATGTATCTTTGTGTACTTGTCCAATTATTTCACTCACTGATTTATTCAACCAACTTACATTACATGCTTATTGTGTATCAGACAATAGTTGAGATACTGAAGGAAGAGAGGTGAATACCAAGTCCCTCATGAAATTTACATTCTGTTGAGGCAGTAAGAAACTGAAACAATCCTTTCAGGTAGTGACAGGTATGAAGTAAAGCCAAGTTAAGACTAGGGGCTAGTGAGCACAGGGGGATGCTGTTTAAATAGGGTGGTCAAGGAAGAACTGCTAATGATATGACATCTCAACAGAGAATATACTGATTTAAAGGAACAGGCTTGAGGAGGTCTAGGCAATGTTGTAAACAGGAACAGTGAATACAGTCCTTGAGGCAGGAAGGAGCTTGTACTGTTGGAAGAGCAAGGAGGTCAGTGTGGTTAAAGAGCAAAGAGGAGACTGGTATTAAGATAGAAAAGGCAGCAGCCAGGTAACAGAGGAGGTCAGAGTAAGGGGCTTTGATCCTTTAGAGGATTCCATGCAGGAAAGAGACACTATAAAAAGATCTCCCTAGCTGCTCTGCAAACTGTAGGAGTAACTGGGGAACTAGGGCTAATGCAGCACTCCATGGGAGATGGCTGTAGGGTGAAACATGGAGGTCGAGGTAAAGATGGTCATAAATGACTGAATTCCAGGCATATTTTAAAAGGCAGAACTGACAGACTGGTAGATGACTGAGTGGTGTTTGCAAGAAGGAATCAAATATGGCTTTTATGTTTTTGGCCTGAGCAGCTGAATAAATGGTGGAGCCATTGCTTGCTTGCTGAATCAGGCAAGACTGTGGGAGGGGCATATTTGAGCTGAGAAATCAAGGATAAATTTTTAGAAGTGTTAATGCTGGACCAACAAATACGTGTGTGACACAACTGATCAGATCGTCAAGACTGTCCTCCAAAACCTTTATACCAAATTATCCTTCTGCCAACAATGTATATGCATGCCTACTTGCCAATATTTTTGCCAGCAGGGAAAAATCAGATAAGGGGAAAAAATGTAATTTGCATGTTTTTATTAATAAGCTGGATATTTTTTATTGGGCTTTTGCATTTCTTCTAACTGCCTATGCATATCCTTTATCCACTTCTGTAGCAGATGTGTGCTTTCCTTACTGATTTGTAAGTGATCCTGTATATTACGAAATCCAACCTTGTCGGTTACAATGCCAATATTGCTTCCCAAATCTACTTTTTAGCTGTCCATGGTGTCTCTGATAAAGAGAAGTGGCTCTTATTTTATGTAGTGAAATACGCCCAGTTCTCCCTTGCATATAAAATGCTTAGCTCAGTGCCTATCACATAATAGGCACTCAATATACTTACCTATTATTAATTCACTACTTTAAAGGGTTTCTGCCCCTCGTGTCAGCCCCCCAAAAGCCTTCTAAATTTTTCTAGTACTTTGCAGTTTTGTTTTTTAGATTTGAACCTTAACTCCATCTACAATTTATCTGTGGTATGGTGAGTCTGAGAAGTTCTAACTCTCTATACAACTTCCACAAAGCTGAGCCTTTTCCTCCAGCAAAACTGTCTCCATCCACAAACACGGCTCCATTCAACTCCATTCTCTCCAATTCTCTTCACAAAAGGAGTCCAAGTCACCAACAACTCTGCTAGAGCCTCCCTCCTTCCCTGGTCTCTCCTGCTTCCACAACCAAAGAACTCATTTTTTTTTTCTTTTAATGTAAACTTGCTATCATTCTCCTGCACATAGTTCTCCAATGGCTTCCTATTAACAACAGAATTAAATACAGATTCCTTTCATGATTTACAATATCCCACCTGGAATGCCCCACCTCCTGTTTCTCCAGCCCCTTTTCGACGATACTCTCGTTCTCACCCACTAAATCCCAGCCACACTGGCCTTCTTTCAGCCACTGGGACATACCTCCCTTAGGTCCTTTGCACTTGCCGTTTCCTCTGTCTGAAAAGCTGTATCTAGTCCTACAATCTATGGCCTAGATGGCTGGCTGCATGCACATCATTCAGGTAATGTCATCTCCTCAAGCAGACCTTCCCAGACCTTGACACCACCCCATCTAAAGTACCTCATCTATAAGGTACTTTAGGTACACGCTACATTACAACGTTTCACTTTATTCAAGGCACTTGCCATTACCTGAATAATCTTGTTCATTTATTCGTTATGTTTATTGTCTGTCTTGTTCAGCTCTGCTCCCCAGCGTCTGTTGTGCATTTCACGTTAACAGGTGCTCAATTAATATTTGTAGGAAAGAAAAAACCCGGGGCTCGGCTGCTTATCCAAACTTACAAAAGCCCCCATAGGATTCGTCTGATCTCGTTGGTATCTGCGCGCGTGGAGCCAGTCACTCTCTCTCCATCCTCTCACCCTCCAGTCCCTCCTGCGGCTAGTCCCTGATCTTCGACACAGCGCTAGCATGCAACCACCCTAGCAAAATTTAACTCTGGGGAGCCGCAAGGAGCGAGATCCTGCACTATCTTGGCGCCGCTAACCCGTGCTCCTTGCCAGTTAATGTGAGGCAGAAGCGCCAAGTTTCGGCAGCCACCCTCAGGCCCCGCCCGCGGCACAGCGGGAGGAGGAGCAGAGTCGCTTACCAGTTCATCGGGACTGAGGACTCCGAACTGCACTCTCTTGATGGTGCGCAGCGGGCATGCGCTGTCCCCGGAAGGGGGGCCACCCCCGTGCATGGCGGAAGCAGGCGCGCTGCGCAGGCGCAAACCTCACTACAAAAAGCCTGCACCGCCTCCGCCTAGGTGCTCAGACCCCGTCGGGGCGGCCACCGGGAAGGACCTCCCCGAGTTGAGAGGAAAAAGCCGAGGAGGGAAAGGTGGGGGAGGAAAGGAGGTGGGGAAGTGAAAAGGAGCGAAAGCAGCTCTCTTCCCTCTTTCCGGAGATTTTTAGTCTCCCAAAAAGGAAAAAAAAAAGAAGGGGAGAAGGAAAAGGTTTTGGGGGGGAGGAAGAAGAAAAAAGGTAACGAATAAATAAGTAACCGGGCTCCTGAACGGCAGAGGTTACGGCAGCTTGTCTCTCCCCCTTCCGGGAGCCGCCTTCTTCTCCAACCGTCCCGGCCGCGCTCTCGGCGCTTCTGAAGAGCGAACTCGCCGAATCACGGCTTTTATAGATTCGCTCGTGAGTCCCCGCCCCTTCCTTTCCCACCCTCCCTTGCGCTACGGGGTCGCCTGCGCTGGCCTGCACGGAACGCGCGCTCGAATAGTTGAACCTCCCCGGCTCCGTGGTAGGGCGGCCTTTTGAAAAGACAAGAGAGGAGGGGAACATTTTTTTATCCCTCTGCTTCCCCTCGCTGCTCCCTCCCACACTGAGGTTTAAGGTTTAAAGGATCCAGGATAAATATAGGCCGCTTTTATTCTAGGTTGGAGTGTGGTTTCATCGTCAACAAAAGTCTCTCATTAGTATCCTCTCCCCGCTGGAAAATGGTCTGTTCTGCGAGTCGGTAATAAAGGAGGCGGGGCCGGTCGCGTCCTCCCAAGTGGGTTCTCGGAGGGAGGAGTGTTGGGGGCCGCCCTTGGTCATGAATATGCAGTAAGACGCTGAATATGCATGAAAATCAAGATGGCGAGGCCAATTGCTTGTCCGGAAATAGCCGATGTTTGTCGAGCGGCCTCCTGGGGTCTGGTGGGTATCTCCTGGCCTCTGATGGAGCGCTGTAGGGAACCCAGGTCCTGGATCCCTGGCCAGAGCCGCCGGAAGAGGCCTCAGCCAGAGGCCTGCTCCGGAGGAGGCTGGCCGCTGTCCGGGAGAGATCACGGGACCGCGACAATCCAGGAAAAGCAGATTAGCCATAGGGCAGGACACAAAAGTTCTGGGGGATTCAGGCTCAAGGGATCTGAATATTAGGAAATCCTCCCCCTTCTAGAATATTTCATAAATAAGACTGGGGGAGGAGTAGTGATCTCAAGGGATTCTCCAATAAGAGGAGTAGGATTTCCAGTCTCCTTCCAAAACAGGTGACACCAGCTGCACAGCCAGAGTGATCCTTATTTGATGTCAATGTCACGTCACCACCCCGAGGTGGGAGGGAGGTGGGTGTGTTAGGCAGGAAAATAGATTATAAAAGGGGTGGAAAGAAAAAAAAGCCAGGGAAGTCCACTAAAATGACCCAGAGTTAATCAGTTAAAGCTCAAAAAGCCAGGAGCAACTTGGCCTGGAATGTTTGAATATTCCCCAGATAAAGGAGGTACCTCAGCATAGCCCATGTCTTTATTGTGTTAATCATGCAGACCCAGCTTATTTTATAATTTTACCTATATACTGTTTTTTTCTCCTTTGGCCCTAATCAAGTTGTTTACACCTAGGCAACTAATTTAGCATGCAGGCCCAGCCATAGAGAACACAGTAAAAGGCAGGAAGGATTCCATCTTAAAGATAAGATTGCATTTTAACACCCAGGAAGTTAAGAAGTAAACAGACAATAACTCAGCCCACCTTGGGGGCTGGGCAGGCAGTCTTGTTAGATATGCTCCCAGACCAAGAAGCTGGAAAAATCAGAGCAGGCAGTTCCTTGTGTTAAGTTAATTCTAAGTATTCAAAAACCATTTAACAGGTCTGCACCCCTAGCCCTTAGTCACATTCCTGAAGAATCCTTAAAAGGGGGAACCCTCTACCTTTCAGGGTGCTCCTCTCTCTGAGGTCGCCCACACTTTCTAAGTGCATAACCTTTTAATCTCAAACTCTCTCTCTCCAACCTTTCAGGGAGCCTCTCCCAGATGAGGTTGCCTGCTGCACTTTTTCTCTAAGTAACTTTAAATAAAACTTTACTCTGCTTCACTGTGTCTCTGTCGTGGCGCGGACAAGGACCGAGGAAAATACATAATGCTCCCCCAACAGATGGAGAGGCATAATTACAAGGAAGGAAAACCATTGCTCGGAAAAAAGGCACACTCCATACCTCTAGCTGCTTGCTCTGTTTGCCTGAAAGCCCCCAACACTCCAGCCACAGTGCTCTTCTCTCTGCTACTGAGGGAAAAATCCTTCCCATGGCTCATGGCCTGGCTGGCTCAGCCCCTTTGATTTGCTCTGCAGATTTCACTTACCCTTTAGTTATGCCCTGATTTTCAAGCCCCAACCTAGACTCCACATTTCTTGGTCCCCAGGCTTGTTTTGTCACGGAAAACCTGAAAAACCTGGACTGGATTGCTGATAGAAGAACCAAGTGGCACTCGGAGGTCTTGGAGTTTTGAGGTTTTATTTTACACCAGCGGTCTGAGAGGGGAGTATTCTACCAAGGTTTGAGCCCCAAACAGAGGCAAGGGGAGCAATATATATCTTTCTGCTTCCATATCTGCAACATTTCTATGTGCACAGCAAGCAAGGGGAAAAGGGAATTGGGGGAGTGAGTACCTAGTGGAGAGAGGAATAAAGGGGAGGGGGGAACCACTAGGTTAGAAGCTCTCCAGCCCTGCGGGGGTGGGGGTGGGGGTTTTATGAGTGCTGTAGCAGGGGACAGACTCCCCATCAGTCCTAGGTTAGAAGCAGAAGGGAGCCACCTGGACTAGATTGCTGACCTTGTAAATATTTCCCTATCAGTTTCAGGTCTTCTGGAAGGTCCCTCTCCACCAAGTCCCCAAGTCACCTTTGACTCCAAGGGGTGTCCCTCTCCCACACCAGTTCTTTTTCAGGCACTTGTTCTCCCATGTTTGTATTGCAGTCTCTCCTGCTATTTANCCCCCCCCCCCCACATCACACCCTGACCTTCAGGCTCTTAAATTCAATCTTGCTCCTCCCCCTGCCCTTCCCTCTCACACCTGAGGTTCTGGGCAGTCATGATGGCAATGCTGACTAACATGACCCCTGCCCCCATGATGTCAGAGGGTGCCACAGTCTCACAGAGCATATAATACTGCAGCAACAGGGCTACCGCCACCTCAGAGTGCAGGAGAGCACACACCAGAGCAGGGCGGACCTTGGTGACAGCATAGCTCACACACACAAAGGAGACCATGACAAGGATCCCCATTGCCCCCACACAGCTCCAACTCAGAGGATCATTGGGCAGCATGGGGGTCTGCATCACAAAGAGACCTGGCACAGAGACCATCAACCCCACCAAGCCAAACAGGAAGCCAAACTGTTGATAGGCAAGAGGGGAAGTCCAGGGAGCGACACATGGGAAACCCCAGTGACAGTGTGAGGCCACCCAGGAAAGCGAGTCTGTAGCCCCTGGCAGTGTACAAGCCCATGGTTCCCTCCAGCAGTGTCCTTAGTCCAGATCCCACAATGATGATTAGTCTCAAGGTGCTGCTCAACAAGCAGCATCAGTCATAGCTGCTGAGACCCTGGCTCTCAAGGCAGAGGGCAAGGAGAGCAGAGCAGACAGAAGAAGAAACTTTGCAGATGGTGGCTGCATCACCAGCAGGTATCAACTGAACTGCACTGTAGGCACATCCCATGCTGAGGACATTGAGCAGGACATGGAGGCAGACCTCGCCCGGGACATCAGGAGGTCCCACCCTTGGGTCACCATGCAGTTTAAGTAGCAGATGAGCAGCTCCAGTGGGGGTAAGTGGGAAGGTTGGTAAACCATACGGAACAAGGCACCCGCAAAGCCAGCAAGGAGGCCCCCGCCCAGCAGGACTACAAGCAAACCCTTGGTGGCATCAGAGGGCCAGCAGTGCTGGTTCGAGGGGAGGTAGGGCAGAGTGGAGGGTGGCGATGGCTGGGTGAAGTCCAGCAGGTTGAAGTAGGGGTGACTGCCAGCCTGTTAGGGAGAAAGGAGCTCGGGTATTAGGGCAGCCACAGCCCAGGGGATCTGGGACAGGACAAATGCCAGGTTGGGGTCTAGGACCCTGTGGGACAATAGAGGGCCAGGCTGTCTTGCCCAGGAATTCCTGGGAGCTGGAATGGGCCTGAAAAATGAATGAGGCCTTGAGCCTCTGAAGCAGGAAACAGGGAGTAAGCAGTCCTGGAGCATTGTTTGTTTTAAAGTTGTTCATGGGAGGAGATAAAGAGGATCCAGGGATGCTCTGTTGGTTTGAGGAAGGGGAGGTGGCTTCAGATGCTGTGTGTCTGTGTGATGTCACAGGTTCCAGGGACGTCTTAGTACACCATTATAAATTTCATTTGTGGATGTCTCTAGGGCAGCTGGGAAGTGTTAGGGGAGGAGGATAGGGGGCAGCCAGGAGCTACAGAGAATGGGCTATGCCTCCCTGGCCCCTACACTCACCATCTTCCCTTGGACTTCTTCCTCTCCTCCTGGCTTAGGGGAACCCGGGCCCTTCAGAGTTCCAGCCCTTGTGACCTGGTTAGAGTGGGGGTAGGGTTCTTCCCTAGAGCCTTCCTGAGGTGGGGGTGGACCTATTTTCTCATTGTTCCCCACTCCTGGGGCTTTATGTCTGTAACTCCAAAGTTCATCTGGTTCTGTTTTTTTCTCTTTATAACTAGCTCTGTCATGAGAAGTGTTTGATTTTAAATTAATTTGTTTATGTGTCACCTTGTTTCAGAGGGGTTTTAGAGAAAGAATTTGAGTACTGGCTCCTCTTTCTCCTGAGCTGTCAATTTTTGAACACCAGGGAGGAGTCTCAGGGACTGTCCCTCTGGAGTTTCAGGAATGGGTCTCTTCTGTCTGTGCTTCCACCTGGTGTTTTGTTGGTGCTGTCCCAGGAGGCGCATATCAAGACCTCTGCGTTTACGCACAAGTGTATAGATGTGGCTATATCTGGCCGGTGGGGACAAAATACCAAGCTGCGTGTTTATCTGCACTGGTAGTCATTTATGTATGACCGTTCTGGAGGGCCGGGGCCTTCGTGGCCCGCGGCCTGGAGGGGGCCTCTGTGCGTTTCTAGGGAGGGTGTGTGTGTGTGTGTGTATCCAGGGCTACCCCGTATTGCTGAGCCTGGGTCTGCGGGTCCCACTGCGCCTGATTGTGAGCCTGCCATGTTGTGTGTCGGCGGAGAGGGTGTGCGTACTCTGGGCGGAGTGCACTGATCAGTGAAGGGCGAGCGGGAGGGCGGGGAGTCCCTTCCCAGGGAGCGGGTGGTCGTGCGGCGTGGTGGGGGGTTCTGCCGCCAGACCCGCTCCCTGCTCGGTGCCCAGCCGTCTGGCGGCCTTGCCCGGCGCCGTCCCCTCCCAGAGGTCGGTCCGGACGAGGGCCGTCGGGCGCGCTCACCCGGAGCCGGAGCCCCAGAGCCTCGCGTCGGTGTCGGCTGCGCTGCGCCGGCCTCCTCTCGGCGGTGGCGGCGGCGGCGCTGGGGGGGTACTGTTTCCGGGGGTGGAGGTGGGGGTAGGACCGGGGCGGGGGGAGCCGATGATGTCAGCGGCGGCGGCGGCAGCGGGGCCGGGCCGGGGCCGGGCGCTGGGGGTGCCTGGGCCGGAGCCGGAGCCGGAGCCGGAGGTGGGCGAAACCCGAGCGGCCGGGGGCGGCCACGGTGATGAGCCGGGCCTGGCGGACGCGGCGCCATCGCAGTCAGGTGGGCCCCGGGGCAAACCGGGCAGGGCCAGGGTGGACCGGAGCCACCAGCTGGGCCCCTTCCCAGCTGCGCTGCGCCGCGCCCGCTCCCCTTTGGGGTTGACCTGGGGGCTCAGGGGTCGGGGGCTGAACCTGGCCCCGCCTCCCGGCGCGCACCGCGCTGAGGGGGGGCAACTAAGGGGGCCCTGGTAGGCGTCCGACCCGGCCACGGCAGTGGGGGCGCGATCGCCTGGGCCCGTGGAAAGGGCCGCGCTCCCACCCCATTTGAAGGGTTAATTCTGCAGCCTAGCGTCCCCCTCCCCCCGTGGGGCAGGTTGGGGGTGGGGTGGGGCGGGTGTGAGCCTGGGCCGGCGCTGTAAGCTGCTGGGAGGGCGATGGCGTAGGAGCCAGCCAGAGAGGGGGAGGGGTGGCCGCCAAGCGCCCCAGAGTTGGGGTGTGTGGGGTGCGCCAGCGAACAGGGGCCCTGGAGCCGCCGTGCCGTCGGGGCAGGGTTGTGGCTGTGAGTCCTGGCTATTGTGTGACTCCTGCTGTGTTGTGGGGCAAGGTAAACCTCTCCTGGACACTACTGTCCTCTAGTCTGGCAGCAAGGGGTCTGGGTAGGGCCCTGCGTGGGCCATGGGGACAAAAATTCAGAGGGAGGGGTGTCCAGTGCCTTGGGGCAGAATTACAAGATGTGGCCTTGTGGCTTTGGGTGACAGGTCCGCATTCGAAGCAGGGCACGATATACACGGAGTTTGTTAGATGTGCTGTTTTCTGTATGTTTTTTTACCAGCATGTGTTTTCATGCACGTATGTGCTTTGTGCTGCACATATGAACTATTTATGAACTGTTGTTTTCTGCATAGCTGGCATGGTGTATGTGCTGTGAAGGGCACCGGAGTGAGGGTGTATGTGCACAGTTGGAAGGGGCAGTTGTGTACCTTTGAGTTGGAAGGTGTCCGTCTGGGTTCCATTTCTGTGGCCCTGCATGAGGTGTGGTCCAGTCTTAGCAAGGATGGCCCACTGGATGGGTTTGTGTGTCTGTGTGATGAGCCAGTTGCATGCAGGGTGCATGTCCAGAACTCAGGTCCCATGGATCCTGTGGGAAGTGAGAAACCCCAGGGTGTGATTCAGGTGCAGATAGGGCAGCTGGCACTGTTGTGAGGGGTTCTGGGTGGAATGTGCAGGTTACATTTATGGGACCATGGGCACCCGAGCAAAGGGAAGGCTGTGGTTTGCAACATTCTCTACGGGATTCTTTTGTGACATTGTTTGTAGGAGCCTGTCTGTGCTGTTGGACTGGGAGGCGAGCTGGTCAGAAAACACTTGTGGGGAGGGAGGTGGCGTGACAAGGGCAATGTGGGCCTCAGACGGGAGAGATCAGCCACAAGCTGTGCGTGCACAGCGTGCATGCGTGCCTGCCTTCTGTGTGTTTAAGTGGCCGTTTGGGGCTGCTGTGGGGATCTGTTGTGAAGAACACAGAGAGATAAATATGAGGCAGAGCAAGGGCAGCAGGCAGGAGGCATGGGTGTTGTCAGGGTGGCCCAGCTAGTCTTTGTGCAGGGTCTGTCTGCTTGCCCCTTACTGGCTGCCCAGAGCGTCAGGGTCACTGGGAGAAGAGGCCTGGCGGCTGCAAGGAAACTGAACTTGAACAGGGTGGCTCCTTGGCCATGTTTATGTAAAGACTGGGTGTGACTCTTGTCACTGAAATGGAAAAAAGAAACACGAAGTTCTGTCTCCTCCTCCTGCTTCACCCTCTCTCTGCCCCCCTTGCGGGTATCTCTGCTTTTCTGTCTCTTCTATGACGCACACTGGGCTGTCCTGCGACTGTGGAAGGGTCTGGGAACAGAATTCGCTCGCTAGGCAGATTCCTCAGAACAGGTTTTCCTCACCTTTGGGGCCTGTGCCCTTCTATAAATGTGGAGGGGTGGGGGCTGTGCTCCAAGTGTGCACTGCTCCGTGCACTGTGCCTGGCCTGGCTGGGAGGGTGGGTATGCATGGGGGGGCGAGGAGGGCACTATGGCCAGGCCTTCCTGCATGATGTGGGGGTGGGGTGGGGGTGCTGGCTACTGGGTGAGGCCTGCACAACAGGTGCATGACAGCCTGGTGGAGGCCTAGACTAGAACTGAGGAGCTCTGGCTCTACAACTTCCTCACTGGCACTTTCCCCGAGTGAGCCTCCATTCCTCATCTGTAAAATGGGGCTAATTACCTGCCCTGCCTATCTTCTGACAGGGGTGTAAGTGAGTAACACATGGGAAACATACCTGGAAAGTAGCTCCAGTCTGGGGGCTGTCCTGTGCCAGCCACTGTGGATCCCCCTCTCCAAAGCCTTGCTAGTAACAATAGCGGTAAACACTTACTTCACACTTACAGCAGGCATTGTTCTCAGTGCTTTTACATGTGGTCACTCATTTGGTCTTCAAAATGTCCAGTGGACATCTCCCTTTTTCAGATGAGACAGGTGAGGCCCTGAGAATTAAGTAATTTAGCTCAAAGCCTCTTAGTAGTAAGAGGAAAAGCTGGATTTGAACCCAGGCAGTCAGGTTCCAGACCTTGGGCTCTTATATGCTGTCCTCTGCTGCCCTTCTGAAGCTTTCTGTGGGCCTCTGTGCATCCACTACACACACACACACCTTCCCAATTTCCACAGAACTTAGCACCTGCACCAATCCACTCCAGAAGACTAGTGTCTTCGACAGTGACTCAGGGAGTCCCAGCATGGAGAGTGAGAACCTAATATCTGCTGCTGGGTGCTGGCCACGGGGACACAAAATGTTGATGAGCCAAGCAAAAGAAAGATTGCCCTTGTCCCGTGGGTCAAAGCTGGCCATGCGGGAGGTGGCATTTGAGTTAGATCTAACCATTTTGGAGGAATTTGCAGGAGAGGTTAGGGAAAGGTTGCATTTGCAGCGGGGGCACCAGTATAGGCAAAGGCACAGAGGCATGGAACATGTTGAGTTTGGAGAGCACACCAGGTGCTTGCAGGAAAACAAACATAAGGCATGGTTAGAAAGGAAGACTGCAGTTATACCTTGAATGCCTGGCTGAGAAATGTGAGCTTTATTTTAAAGTGAACAGGGACCAGTGAAGGTTTCCAAGCCCAGGAGTGATACCACCTGAGACTTTGATGGCGACATTGACCCTTAGTGAGGTGAAAGGTAAGCCTGAAGGCAAGAGAACCCTGGAGCATGTGAGTGTTAACAAGGACCTGAGCTAGTTTGGAGGCCAGAGGCGGGTTGAAGGAAAGGCTTCCAGAGCCATCGCCAAGCTGGGCCACAGATTCAGCCAGACATGGTGACTGCTGGATTTGGGGAGCAAAGGAAAGGGCCGTGCCTTTTCCACCTCTCTTGTAATAATAATGGACCCTTATTATTTGAACCCCAAAGTACTTACCACAGGAGCCCTCACATGGTGATTTCTGTAAGCTCTGGCCAGCCACAGGGCCCTTCACAGCAGGACCTGGCAGTATGGCAGAGTGAAAAACTGCCTGGATTCACACAGGCCTGGATTTGAATTTTGACTCTGCTGCTCACAGCCGTGTGACCTTGAGCAAGTATACGCCTCTGTGAGCCTCAGTTTCCTCAGCTTTAAAATTGGGTAGCCATTTTGAGGAAATCATTAAATGAGGCACCGTATGGAAGGGAAAGCATGAATGTCCCAGAAGTGGTGAAGTTAAATTCATCACTCCCAGCTCCTAGCCAGCTCATTCTGGCATTGAGGATAGCTTCCTTTTTGAGGGTGGACAGACTCCAGGCAGACTATGAAGAAGGTAGGTTCATTCATTTGTCAAAAAAATTACATACCAGAGACTGTTCTAAGCACTGGAGAAAGCAGTGAACAAGCGGATGAGAATCTCTCCCTCCCTTGGAGCTTACATTGTAAAGGTAAATTAACAATGTATTTTATGAAATGCCAAGGAGAAAAATAAAGTAGGGGAGAGGGACAGGAAATTCAGGGAGGTAGGGGGTGGCCAGGGAGGCCTCCAGGGGAAGATAACTTTTGAATCAAGGCTTAAAGGAGGTAGGGCAGCAAGGCATGAGGCTGTCTGAGGACATTCCCAGCAGGGAACAGCTAGATGCGGAGTGTGTCTGGTAGTAGCGCTCAGATCCCCTCCTCAGTCATGCCTCTAAGATCACACAGCCAGTCAAGAGTAGAAAAAACAGTAAAAATAAAAACTAAAAACCACAGCCACCAAACTTACCATGAAGCCTGAGTGCTGCCTGTTTTTCTTTACCACTTCCCCCCCAACATTTCCAGGACTGAGGTCCAAGATGATAATAAGAGCTAGCACTTTGTGAGAACTTCCTGTGTGCCAGGCACTCTGCCAGATGCTGCCAGTTACTCACTCATTTAACATTCCCAAAACAGTCCTGTGAAGTTAGACCTCTTCATTATCCTCATCTTATAGATTAGGTAACTGAGATGCAGAAAAATTACTAACTGGCTCTGGGTCAGAGAGCTAGTGTCTTTTCCACCTCCCTTGTAATGATAATGGACCCTTATAGGCCATGGCCAGTGATGGGACGGTTGCACTAAGAGAGCTGGATCCAAATCCTGACCTGGTTAGCAGTGAAACCAGGGGCAGATCACCGTGCCATCACATTACTCTCTACCTGAAAGTGAGTAATACAGAGGATGTGAAGCCTCAGTTTCCTCACATGTACAATGGATTGATGACAGCCCGTGCCTCACTGTGGCCCTTTTGGGTTTTGAAATGAGATGATGCAGATAAAATGCTTAGCATTATACTTAGGTCACAATAAGTATTTAATAAATGGCGACTGTACGTACCATGATGATGATTCTAGGTGATCTCTAAGGGCCAGGCCAGCTGTGGCCTCGGTGGTTCCAAGAAGCCCTGAGAGGCCTCATCCAATTATGTTGGCAGGCAGCACACAGCCACACCTCAGTAGGCACCAAGCCCGTATGGCTGTGCAGGGGGGTCAGGCCTGGCCAAGGGAGTGAGTGGAGGCCTGGCATCCAAGCTTTGTTTTGCTCACCTCGGTAGAGCTGCTGCTTCCTGGACGAAGGGGCCTGTTCTCTAATTTTTTCCCCTTTAATTTTCACAAAGGTAGTAGATGGGCTAACAGGGGCCCTAGTGGGTGCTCTTGAAAGAAAAACACAACTTTTTCTATACGCTCTACTCAAACACAAACACCAGAAATGTTTACTTCTGACACCAAATGTGTGGGTTTTTCCCACACCAGTTCAGTGAAACAAGGTGAGTGTCCTACAATTCAATTCAATGCTGCTACTGTATTCTCGGACATAGTGTCAGATCCAACAGGTTAAGCGCTCTGTCCCACAAACACTTCCCCTACTTCAGATGCCAAGCACAAGCTTGGGACTTCTGACTGACCAGCTTCAAATTGGGGTTTCCCATGACCCCCTCCTTAGATTCAGTAATTTGCTAAAATGGTGCAGAGAACTGAGGTAAACACGGTTACTGGTTTATTATATAATAAAGGATATGATGATACAGATGAACAACCAAATGAAGAGATACATAGGGTGAGGCCAGGAATGGTCCCGAGTGCAGGAGCTTCTGTCACCACAAAGTTGGGGTGTGCTGTGTGGATGTGTTTACCAACCTGAAGCTCTCTGAACTCCAAAGTTTATGGATTTTTATGAAGGCTTCATCATGTAGGCATGATTGATCATTAACTCAATTTGAGGTCCTCTCCCCTCCCCAAAGGTTAGGGTTGGGTAGGAGGGTTTCTAAGCACGGCTTGGTCTCTCTGGAGACCAGCCACCCTCCTGAAGCCATCCAGGAGTCCACCCAGAATCACCTCATAGAACAAAAGATGTTCCCATCACCCAGAAATTCTAAGGGCTTTAGGAGCTTGGTGTCAGGAACCAGGGTCAAAGACCAAATCTTAGAACATAAGATGCTCCTAGCATCCCTATCACTTGGGAGCTTGTAAGAGTTTGGGGAGCTCTGTGTCAGGAATGGGGATGAGACCAAATGTATGTATTTCTTATTATATCACAATATCACAGCTGTAAATATGTCCATCCTGATGTGTCAAGGACTTTGAAGCCACACTTCCTGAAATCAAACCCAAGCCCTGCTATTAAGTGGTCATATATCCTTGGGTGAGCATATATCACCTGGTATCTGTGGGCATCATCTGTCAATTTAAAGTGGGAAATCTAAAAATAGAGAGCCAATGAGGTAAGTAAGGCACTGACTCTTGGGGGTCCTGGTGGCTATCAGGTGAGTGGGTAGGAGGTCTTGTTTGACCCAGGACTAATGTGGGCCTGGCATTCAGGGCTGTCAGAACTTTTGAATATCACCCCTCTTTACCACCTTCCTCCTCCAGGAGAGGAGTCAGAGCAGAGTTTAGGGAAAGTAAAATGGACTGTAGAGGGAAGGTCTTTACATCCAGATAGTATGAGTAATGATGGGAAAGAGCATTTTGTGGGGTGGAGTGGTAATTGTATGAAACTCCTGATGAGACCACTTTGGAGGACATGAGAGACCCAGAGCATCTGGAAGGAGATCGCTCCCAAGCTTTGTGGAAGGTGGGCGAGAGGGGCCAGGAGTTCTGCTCAGGTCAGCAGGTCTAGTTGTGTGAACTGGGCGCACTTATTACCAGCTCATGTGACTTTGGCTAAGTTATTGTAAGGCTCTGAAATTCAGATCTTCAACTGGAAAAATGGGACCCCAAAGCCCTGGCTGTGCCCACAGGGGAAGTGGCTGTGATGTGTTCTCTGTGCAGTGACCTGTGACTACCACAGCACACATTTTGGGTTGCCTGCTATTCCTTTTGGATCAGCCTCCCAGCAGCAAGAGGTGAGGTAGGGGTTGCGTCCCTTCCCCCACTTTTTAAACCAAAATCCTAGAGACACTAGCTCTCAGAGTAAGGAATGGGACACAAGCCTCCTCATTCCTGATTTGGTGGCTTCCCAGTACCTCCTGGAGACTGGAGCAAGCTGGCACGCATGTATGAATCCGTGATCTTTGGTGGTTGTCTGCACCTGGGACAGAAACCCCTCTAAGATTTATGGGGCTAGTGTGCATTGCACGTGCATGCATCTGTGTGTGCACGTGTCCGTCAGGCTGTGTACTCTCCTAATTTGAATACCTAGCAGGTTGGTCCAATAAAAAAGCTCTAGCAAATCCATTTTGATATGTAAATGCACCATTATAATGAAAGACAACACGCAAATCTTTGATTTCCTTTGAGCCCTGAAGACCGGGCCAAAGGGACTTGAGAATGGTCCAGTAGATCTCTCGGGACCTACAGAGATTGAACTACGCTGCTGTACTATTTTGAGGTGAATTGGGCTTATGCAAATTATCTTGATCCTATACTTCTCTGGGCTGGTAGAACAAGGCTTTGCAATTAACTGTGTGACCTCCTAGGTCCCTTTGGATGCAGCTAAACAAATAACCTGACAGGCTCCTGGGAGGGTTAGGGTCTGCAGAGTAGCCCAGACGTCCTCTTGACCCCAAATGCTGCACCATCCCCATCTCCTGGAGTCCTTTCTTTCCCAGTTCCCTTCCTCAGGACAGGGTTTCTGTTTCTTCACAGAAGGAAGAAGCTCTGCAGAAGGGACTTGCTGAGCCACCCCCGCTCTGCTTCATGTTGACTGTGTTCTCAGGTGAGCTGGTGCAGGAGATCTGCAGCTCAAGAAATTGGACCTAAGGTAGTAGGCCAGCAAGGGCAGCCATTCTGTCAGACTGTGGAGTCTTGTGAAATGGTCATTCATTGCTCTGGAGGCTTCCTCCTCCTCCCAGGGGGAGAGAGGTGTCCAAGGTTTCCCCCTCTAGTCTGCAACTTGAGAGGTTTTCAGTCTTTGACCTTCATCATGACTGAGGTATTCCTGGCCTCTTCCAGCCCCAGATGTTTAACATACTGATGTGGACACTGGCCAGACATGGATGGCTAAGGTTACCTGGCTTTTGTGAGCAGAAGTTTGTCAGCTTTCTACTAATCTCTAACCTGCCACCTCCGACACCCTCCCAGCAACTATCCCTGATCTTAGAGGGCCCTGTCCTCAGCCCAGCCTCTGAGATCCCCCCCCTGGCCTCTTCTCCTCTATCTAGGCTGGCACCATGCCCCCCCCAGCAGAGGTGACGGACCCGTCCCATGCCCCTGCCGTCCTGCGCCAGCTCAATGAGCAGCGGCTCCGTGGCCTCTTCTGTGACGTCACCCTCATAGCTGGAGACACCAAGTTCCCTGCTCACCGCAGCGTTCTAGCTGCATCTAGTCCCTTCTTCAGAGAGGCCCTGCTTGCTTCAGCCCCACTGCCTCTCCCACCAGTTACTGGGGGCCTAGCCCCCAACCCTACTGCCACCACAGTAGCCTCCTCTTCCTCCTCCTCTTGTTCCTCTTCCTCCTCTTCCTCCTCCTCTCCCCCTCCAGCCTCACCCACAACTTCATCCCCACCCCGGGTCCTGGAGCTACCAGGGGTCCCGGCAGCTGCCTTCTCTGATGTCCTCAACTTCATCTATAGCGCCCGGCTTGCACTACCTGGTGGTGGAGGGGACGGGGCAGCTGTGGCTGAGATTGGAGCTCTGGGGCGGCGTCTGGGCATCTCTCGCCTGCAGGGCCTGGTGGAGGGAGGTGATGCCTGGGTACCTCCTGGCCCAGTCCCCATGGCCACCTCACAGCCTGAAGACGACAGCTTCGGGTCTGGGCCTGGGCCAGCCGGGGAGTGGGAGGGCGACAGGGCTGGGTCCCAGGCCTCTGACTCGCAGTCCCCCATGCCTCGGCGGTCCCTCCCCTGTCCCCAATGTGGGAAAAGCTTCATCCACCCCAAACGGCTGCAGACCCATGAGGCGCAGTGCCAACGGGGGGCCGGCACTCGGGGATCTGCAGGGCTGGGAGCTGGGGGTTCCGGCCCCAGTGGTCCTGCAGGAGTGGATGCCTCAGCCCTGCCCCCACCAGTGGGCTTCCGAGGCGGCCCTGAGCACGTGGTGAAGGTGGTGGGCGGCCATGTGCTGTATGTGTGCGCGGCCTGTGAGCGCTCCTACGTGACCCTGTCCAGCCTGAAGAGGCACAGCAATGTACACTCATGGCGGAGGAAGTACCCCTGCCGCTACTGTGAGAAGGTGTTTGCTCTGGCTGAGTACCGCACCAAGCACGAGGTGTGGCACACTGGGGAGCGCAGGTGAGTAGCCTGGGGGGCTGGGGATGTGAGGGTGGAGGGGTCGAGTCAGTATTCAGGGACCACATGGACAAGGGAGGGAGTGGGCAGAGCCTAGGGCTTAGAAAGCTATCGTGAGGCTGGCCTGCTCACCCACTGGCCTCTGCTCACCTGCTCTCCATCACTTGCCCATCGCCTGCCTGTAGCCCCAGTTCCTTCTGCTGTTTATCGCACGTCCATGTCCTAGCTTGGTGCTGTGGAGAGGGCCGAAGAGGCAAGAGAAAGTTGTCCTCCCAGGAAGGGCCCATGGGGAGCACAGACATGTTCATCAGTAGTTACAACAGCACTTGCATGACATGTCTCTGCTCAGGAGACATTCCCCATTCTGTCATTTGCACTTCAGAAAGAGGCTTTGTGAGTTAGGTAAGGTGTGTGATTATTTCCAGTTCACAGATGGAACAGCTGAGGCCTAGCGTCTCACAGCCGGTGTGGATGGGCACTGAGCTAGGACTGGTGCTCCTCCTGAGGTTGGCAGGATGGGAAAAGCAGCATGAGAGTGAGCAAAGGCTGGGAGAATTAAGGTCTGAGTAGAAGGTGGTAGGGAACCTGGGAGGCTGAGGCCCTGGCTTCAGGGCCCGACTCAAGTGGCTCTGTCCCTGGCCTGTTCCCTGTGTCCTGACCTAGGTACCAGTGCATCTTCTGCTGGGAGACTTTTGTCACCTACTATAACCTGAAGACCCACCAACGAGCCTTCCATGGCATCAGCCCAGGTCTCCTAGCAAGTGAGAAGACCCCCAATGGAGGCTACAAGCCCAAACTCAATACCCTCAAGCTGTACCGCCTGCTCCCCATGCGGGCAGCCAAGCGGCCCTACAAGACCTACAGTCAGGGAGCCCCTGAGGCCTCTCTTTCTCCAAGCCTCAACACACCGGCCCCTGCAGCAATGCCAGCCAGCCCAGCACCCGGACCCCCATCTGCCCCACAGCCTGGCCCCCCACCCTCTGTCATCACTTTTGCCCACCCAGCTCCCTCTGTCATTGTTCACGGAGGTGGTAGCAGTGGTGGAGCCGGGGGTGGACCAGCCAGCACAGGGGGGGCCCAAGCCGCCTCAGTCATCACTTACACTGCTCCTCCAAGACCCCCCAAAAAGCGTGAGTACCCACCCCCTCCCCCCGAGCCTGCAGCCACACCAACTAGCCCAGCCACAGCGGGCAGCCCAGCAACAGCCGCAGGGCCCGGCATGGCCACAGAAGAGGCCAAGGGCAGGACCCCACGGGCCGGAAGGACTCTGACCTACACGGCCAAGCCTGCTGGGGGCATTGGCGGGGGCGGGGGCCCCCCTGCAGGGCCTGGCCGGGGCCCCTCTCAGTTACAGGCCCCACCGCCACTGTGTCAGATCACTGTGCGAATTGGGGAAGAGGCCATCGTCAAGCGCCGCATCTCAGAAACTGACCTGCGTCCTGGGGAGCTGAGCGGAGAGGAGGTGGAGGAGAGTGAGGAGGATGAAGAGGAGGATGAGGAGGACGAGGAGGACGAGGAGGAATCGAAGGCTGGGGGCGAGGACCAGCTCTGGAGGCCATACTACTCATACAAGCCCAAGCGCAAGGCTGGAGCGGCAGGCGCGGGCAGCAGTGGCGGCAACGGGATGCCCAGAAGCCGCCGGCCGCCTCGCTGGAGACAGAAGCTGGAGCGGAGGAGCTGGGAGGAGACCCCAGGGGCTGAGGGCCCCGCAGGACGTGCCCGCAGCGAGCGGAGGCACCGCTGTGGGGACTGTGCCCAGACATTTGCCACCCCGAGGAAGCTGCGCAAGCACCAGGAGGCCCACGGTGGGGGCTCCCATAGCTCCCGGGCTGGGCGTAGGCCTACCACCCGTTTCTCCTGCCCTCACTGTGCCAAGGTGTGCAAGACGGCAGCTGCCCTGAGCCGCCACGGGCAGAGGCATGCTGCCGAGCGGCCCGGGGGCACCCCCACACCTGTCATTGCCTACTCCAAGGGCTGTGCTGGCACCAGACCTGGGGATGTCAAGGAGGAGGCCCCCCAGGAAATGCAAGTCTCCTCATCCAGTGGGGAGGCAGGTGGTGGGAGCGCTGCTGCTGATGAAGCTTCTGGGACTGCCTCACTCCAGGACCCTGTAATCTCGGGGGGTGAGGAACCCCCTGCGGTGGCAGGAGGGGGCACCTATGCATACCCGCCTGTGCAGGAATTTCCACTGGCTCTGATCGGGGGCAACCGGGAACCTGGCGGGGGCAGGGGAAAACCTGGGAGTGAGGGGCCAGTGGGAGCTGGGGAGGGGGACCGGATGGAGGGGTTGGGGGCTGCCAAAGTCACCTTCTACCCTGAGCCCTACCCGCTAGTCTACGGCCCCCAGCTCCTTGCTGCCTACCCTTACAACTTCAGCAACTTGGCTGCTCTCCCGGTTGCTCTTAACATGGTCCTACCTGATGAGAAGAGTGGGGGGGCCCTTCCCTTCCTACCAGGGGTCTTTGGCTATGCAGTCAATCCTCAAGCAGCACCACCTACTCCCCCAACTCCACCCCCTCCAGCTCTTCCTCCAGTACCACCTAAGGGAGAAGGGGAAAGGGCAGGGGTTGAGAGAACCCAGAAGGGAGATGTGGGGTGAGTTCTGGACCCCAATCCCCCCTTTCACCAGATGCCATCTTCCCTGAATCCCCTGCCACTACTAGCTCCCTGGCCTCCCTGCCCCTTGGGAGCCCCTCCACACTGTTGTGCAGGGACTCAGGGGCCCCTGGAGCTCAGGGGTCAGGCTGCTTTGTGTGAGATTGTAGTTTTCCCATCTCCTGGGAAGGGATCTTCGGTAGTTCTCCTCAGTTTTCCTCCAGGGAATGGTCTCCGTCAGGGGCAGGGCCAGCTCCCATCCCTTTTCCAGCCCTTGGGGCAACTGAGCAATATACATAAATGAATCTCTACTCATGGCCCCCACCAGCTCTGAATGTCTAACCTACCCCCCTGATTTGTAAACCTAGGGGGAAACCATCACTCTCACCTAATGCTCCCCCCTCATTCTGAGGCTTCCTCTAAGCCCTTGCCCAGATGCTTCCTAGCACATTCCATTCTTTGTGGCCCAGGGCCTGGACCAGACCATTGTGAAACCTGACAACCACCCACCTGGGAGCATGGGTTTGGATTCTATTCTTCCCAAGGGTGGGTTTCTGTGTCCATTTCTTTCATGTAAAGATGCCACGCCTTCCTTGGCTTCCATGCCATTGGATCTTCCATATTCCTCCTTGTACTCCTAGACTCTGGAGATGGCCTCTCCCAATCCAGGTCAGGGAGATGTTGGAGGGAGGGCTACCTGTCTGTTCCATGGCTGAGCACTTTCCCAGCCCAGGGTGGCACCAATCTTAGCCCTATCTTGACCCCCAAATCCAGTGAGCCCCAGATTCTTCCAAGGTGAAAGAGGTGAGTAGATCACACCTCTTCCTGCCTCTACAGATGGCCTCTTCTGGGCTAAACCAGATTTGGGGCCAGTAGGGAGTTAGCTCCACATGGGATGGGGAAGGAAATCTACTTTCTCCCTGTTTTCCTGATGGTTTCTCCCAGACTAGACCAAATAGCCAGAAAAATTATGGGAGTTGGATGGGTCGGTAAGCCCGAAATTTGCACATGACCTCCCAACCTTACCTGTACCCTCATCTTCCCCAGTGTTGCTTCCCTCACCAATCACTCCAGGTGGTTTTTGGGGAACCATCCTACTCCTGTGGTGGGCTTTGGGGTATTCCCACCAACTTTCTCTCCAGAATAGCACCTTACACCCCATCTTCGTCTCAGTTCCCCACACCCAAAGATCCCAGCCTAGGGATGGGTTGCAGGGACCTCAAATAGTCCCTAATCCCTAATTTGCACTAGTTAACCCTGGTCAGGGGTCCCTATGTTTCCTTCCAGTGGGGGAGTTGAAGAAATGTTTGCTCCTAATGCTCTTTGATAACTGGGCCTCCCCATTCTGTGATTAGATAAACATTTCCCATCCCAGCCATCCTCCCTGCAAAAAAAAAAAAAAAAACAGCCCACAAAGGGAGAGCCAGTTTTGGGGAGCAAATATGACACATGGGAATTAGAGGAGTGCAGTTTAAAAAGGGGAAAAGTTGCTGTCATCAAATGGCAGGCTTTTTTCCAGCTACTGTTTTCTAGGGCCAAGATGGCTGCCCTCTTAACAGCTGTTGAAAGGGCAAGATCATGGCTTTTGGAGGGGGGGTGAGTTGGAGGGGAGGGACAGGAGCATCCTCTGCCCATCTCACCCTCTAGCAGAGTAAGGTGGAGATTTTTGACAGGCTCCCTGAATGTTAACCACGGAGGAGTGTGGCTCCTTCACTCCTCCTCTGTCTCTTTGCACTTTTCTTGGTCTTGGCCACAGTCCGAGTGAAGAGTTTCCTACTGAATGTACCAAGTTCCAATTTTTAAGGGGGAAAAAATTTAAAACAGGGAAAAATGCAAAAAAACAAAAAAAGTCACTAAAAAAATTCCCACAAATCTTATTTCTGGCACTTTAGAAAAAATGCAGAAAAAAGTACATAATAAAGAATGCATATATATATCTACACACAAATTATATATATATATACTATACACACACACACACACACACACACACACAGCGGAACCACAGGAGAGACTGAGGAAGGCCGAGGAGGCAGGGGACAGATGCAATGACAGTCCTCCTATACCCTTAACCTGCACTCCTCTGAGGCAAAAGGCACAGGAAATGGAAGGGGTTGAGGATGGGCCAGGTGGGGAATTTAAATTTCAGAACAGGTCAAAATTCTAAAACCATGGACAGTTTGGGAGAACTGCGACTGTAGACATTTATTTTTTTGAAAATATGACTTAGGAAAACCGTTTCCAGAATTTGGTGGTTCTGGGCAACAAATTAGATTGTGGCAAAATGGAGATTAAAGTGTATCAGAGTTGGGGGACTTGAATATTGTAAATTTCAGATGTTTGAAATTTGGGATTTTGCAATCTTGTCTTTTGGAAAGCATTAAGTCTTATTAGCAGTTTGTGTCCTCTTTCCCCATGTTCCCTGGGAAGAAGGGTGATGGTCGGGTGAGAAGGCCACTGGTTTTGTGCCACCGCACACAAGATTTAGAATCCTACAGACTCTAGCTCTTTATGTAGTGAGGACCCAGATTTAGAGAAACTGACCAATATTTATCTCCGCAACTGTGTGTGTGTCCAACTCTCTAGGCCAATAAACCAACAAGACAAACAAACTGTGCTCTGCAGTGGGATGCTAGGTGCAATTATTTGCGTGGCTATTGGGTTTGGCTGGAAAGGAACATGCTTACCTTGTTTCACAGGGATCCCTGGGAATTGTAGCCCTATTGTCCCTCTTAGGACAACAACTTCCAGCAACTGAGTAGGTGTGAGGGCTAACTGACCCTAGGTACATAACTGTAATTGCTGCACTAGGCACTAGGCTCCAGCTGACTTTGGCCTGACCTCCAAACAGAAACATTAACTCAGTCCTGCTGGGCACAAGATCTTCATGTCCCATAAAGGCCCTGCCTTAAACCGGGTGCAACCTTTTCTCCGAATTAAAAGGAAACTGGGCACAAAATGTGTGATGGCCATAAAAGACATACCTTTCTCCACCCCCCAACCTCCCACTGGCTGCAACTCCTTGTACCCCCTCCCTCCCCTGTGTTTGGCCTAGTGCTATGAAGGGGTGGGGAAGTAAAATGAATGAAGCTGGTTAGGAGGGTGGGGGCTATGAGGAATTCTGGTACAAATACCCTGACCAAAGTGGGCAGTCAATAATCAGCTCCAGCAGGTTGCTGCTCACAAGGGAATCAGGCCTGGTGTTAAGTGCAGTTTTCAATTTTTTTCAAAAGAAACCAGAAGTCCATATTTCTCTGTGAACTATCCAAATTTTAAAAGTACTGAACTAATTCAAATTTAAAACCATTTAGGCCAACGTGGGTCAAACGAGACACACTGGTTTGCAACCTCTGATACATACTATATGGTGCTTTTGTTCCCACATGATCCTCAAACTAGTGGGCAGATACTATTAGCTTCATTTTATAGATGTGGAAACTTAAGTACAGAGTAGTTAAATAGCTTATCCAAAGTTTGAACACTAAAGCTGAAACTTGGAATAGAGACTTTTAAAGTGTGCTTTCTTTTTCTCATTATAAATACATCCTTTCAGAAATAACCGTTTTTTACACCTAAAGATGATACTTATTACAAAAGATAACAAATTACAGAAGGTAAAAACAGGGAAAAAAAGGCCACTACTCCCAACATGCAAAACATAAGTGCTATTAATTGGTATATTTCCTTCCAGAAAAAAATCTTCTCTATTTATACAAATGTTAAGCACCTACAATAGGTCAGGACCTGTACTAAGGGCTGGGGATGGTACAGTGAACCAGAATCCTGCCCTCCTAAAGCTAACAGTCTAGTTCTTGTTCTTTGTTCCATTTTACTGAGAACCTAGGTGTGGATATCCATGGGAGCTTTTTCAAAAAGCCAGAGTAAATAAGCTGATAGTGCATTTCTGGTGGGCCCAAGGACTCCGCCTGCCCAGTCCCACTCCAACACTCTCCGAAGAAACTAAATGAGAGGACTGGATTCCTAGTGAAGGAAGTAAGAGGAAGAAAGGGATAGAGGCTTGATAGTACTGCCAAAGTCAGTTCAACTGGCCAAGACCCTGGTCTCGGCCGTCTGTCCTCAAGGAAAGGGATCGGGAGGGGGCAAGTGGTACGTGGCGTCCAGGAAGATGACGAGGGTCCCGACGCTCGTGAAGATGATGAAGGTCCACAGGAAAAGGCGGTCCACTACCATGGCCACAAACTGCCAGTCTTCCTTCAGCTGGGGGTAGGCAAAGGAATCTGTTCCTGAGCTCCAGACCCCCAGGGAAGGCCGCCCCCATAGCCCTGTTCTCCGCCCTGGTACTCGTGGAACCAGGGCTCTGAAACAAAGGTAGGGGGCGGAACACAGGAGAGCAAAACCGCGAGCGATGGATAGAAGAGCCAATTGGAAAGCAGAAGGCTGGACCAAATGAGGCAATCTCCCAATCAGAAATAAAACCCAGTGCGGGGGTGGAGCCAAGGCCATCGAAGCCCCGTCTTTTTCAATCTTCATCGAACTTACCGCGTCGTGGTCTTCCTGTTCCTGCAGCTGTCGAGCGATGTAGTTGATGGAGGAAACGACCTCCCGTAGCTCGGGAGGCAGGCCCATGGCCCGGTTTGGACCAGCGATAAATCGCCGCAGGTCCGGGGCAGCCAATTCAGATGGGAATCTGGAAGAGACGGAACTGTTTGTCCACGCCCCGGGCGCAAAGATAGAGCCAGCGACAGTGCTCCAGGCCCCGCCCCAACTCCCTCTTCCAGCACCCTGCCAGTTTTCACAACCTGAGGCCCTTCAGGCTCTCCCGCCAGTAGAGAACTCTCCAGCCTTCCCAATTCCTCCCATCCCTGTACGCATTAGTTCCCACCAGCAGAATGGATACTACAATTCCCATGATGCTCAACCACAGCATCTTCCGGAAGCTTGGGGCCTGCCTCCGCAAGTCTTCTGGGAACTGTAGTTCTCCCTCTCCCTTCTATTTGGGCGATGGGGAGTAGGTACTACCTGTTGGGTTTCGGGAAGAGAAAATCACTCGGTGGCTTCCGGATGAAATATTCATCTGTTCCCCGACCCCATCCACTCCCTGGAGAATCCCTGGGGGCTACAGGAGGTGGCTCCAGCTTCTGATCTCTCTCAGGTTTGGGTCTCCTCAAACCCAGGTACAGCGGGAGTTTGTGGATGAAGATCTGCAGAGTAGAAAAAGGGTGCTGGAGGGGGCTCTCCTGATTTCAGTCCAGAAAAGAAGCAGCCAACCGCCCCCACTCCTTATGTCGATGCCTGCTCATGCATGCATAGGTTCCACAGGGCTACACAGACAAGTAAATGCAACTGCACAGCCTTTAGAGCTCTTAAGTGGATTGGGAGGCATCCTGACTGGAAAAAGTTCTGAAGGCTTCCACCTGGTAGTACCTAACCCCGAGAATGTTTCCCTGGGATCCTGGATGGACAAGACTGATGAAAAGAGTATGGGGTCTATGAAATGATGATAGGAGAGTAAAATTAATTATGCAACATTGCAACACACAAGAAGCCCTGCCTGGCATGTCGACACTCTACCAGGAGTTGTAGTTCTCCCTTGGGGCTGTGAAGGGGAAGGCTGAAGTTGGTAGGAAGGAGGAATGATACCTGAACAAAAAGCCAAACACTAGGATTGAGAGTTAACACAGGTTGGAGGAGGTGATCTTCTTACCTGACGGACCCAAAAGGGCATTTGGTGGGTGTGGGGTGAGCGATGGTGCAGGTTGAGGACTACAACGCTAAGGATAACTGAGAAGGTGACGAGGATCATAGTAAACATGAGGTACTTGATAATGATGGGGACAGACAGAGAGGTCTCAGGCACTTTGTCTGCCAGAAGCAGCAGGAACACAGTAAGGGTCAGCAGGGCAAAGATGGAGAGCCCCATCTTCTCTCCTTGTGGGGAAGAAGAAAAGATGGAAGATTAGGCTCTACCAGAAGGCAGTCTCCATGGCATAATCAGTGACCATGTCTCCAGCCCATTCAAGGACAGGCTTTTGGAAGGGCCAACTGCATGCAAATGACTCCTACATTTATACTTCCAGCCTCAACTTATTCGCCTAAACTCCAGACATATATCCACCTGCCTACTTCACCTCTCCACTTGGATGTCCAATAGATAATCTCAAACTTAACATATCCAAACATAATTCCCTTACCACCAACTTCTATGTCATAAATGACAACTCCATCTTTCATGAGACTCTGGCCAAAATCCTTTTGAGTCATTATCAACTCTCCTCTCTCTCTTATCCCATATCCAATCCATAGCAAGCCCTATTGGCTCTACCTTCAAAATATATCCTGAAACTCATGATTTATCACATCTACCACTACCACTCTGCTACAAACCACCATTCTGAGTTATTATAAAGGCCTCACTTTTATCCCTTGCCCTGCTACTGACTATTCTCAAAAGAGCAGCCAGATTGACCCTGTTAAAATGTAGATGTGATCAGATCACTCCTCTTCTCAAAACCTTCCAGTGACTTCCCATCTCCTTCTGCATAAAAGCTAAAGCCCTTACTATGGTCTACAAGGCCTTCACATTAGCTCTCTGATTTAATCTCCTGTTATCCTTCCTGATTACTTCATTCAGTTACATTGGCTATTTCTGGAATATGCAAGGCCCACTCCCACCTCAGGGCCTTTGCATTCACTGTTAACTCCCTCTGGTACATTCTTCCCCCACATATCTGCCAGAGTCATTCTCTCACCTCTTTCAGGTTGTTGTTCAAATATTGATCATATATTTTCTTTTTAGTGAGGCATTCACTGATCACCCTATTTTTAAATTGCGACCCCTATCCCCACTCTCATCCTCCCTAGCCCTTTTCCCAACTTCTTTTTCCTCCTTAGGTTTTGTCTTCTAATATACTCTCTAATAGATTTACTTTATTTTTTTTATTGACTCTCTCCCTCTCTAGAACCTAAACTCCATCCATATGGGCAGTGATTTTTGTCTTTTCTATTCACTGATGTATTCTCAGTGGCTAGCACATTACAAATGCTCAATAAATATTGTGGTATTAATGAATGGACCAACCCCTGTAGCTTTTTCAGGAACTAAAGAGTAATTTGAGGGATCTAAAAATGAACCAGTATATAAGGATACACCAGGTGGCTAATTATTCTTGTGACATACAACAGGCACTGCAAACTTGCTGGAACATATTAAAGTAAAATAACTTATGATCCACTCTGTTAGTCCTATAAGATTGGGTTCCAAGATTTGCCCTGCTCAGGAGGAAGCGGAAGTTACATTTGGAAGTGTATTCTAGAGCTGCATCACTTTCCTTCCCTAGAAAGAGAGAAGACTTGATCCCAGAGAGGAGGAAAACATGTTTTGACTACCAGAGTTAAGGATATGGGGTCTCTGAATCAGGTTGGCACTAACCAGGCTTGGAATAGTAACACCACCTCTCTCTGTGTAATGTCAGGCAAAGACTTAAGCTCTCAGCCTCTTTATCCTCCTCTGTAAAATGGGAAGACAATTCAGTTTTTATCTCACAGAGTTGTACAGATTAGAATTGACCAAATACATGTAATAACATCTTAATTGTATTACCTTATAGCAAGTGCTCAAAAATAGTAAAAACAATCCCAACATTTACATAGAATTTATGGTTCTAGGTATAGTTCTGTTAACTCAGTTAATCTTCAAAATAATCTTATGCAGTAGGGATAATGATTGTTTCCATTTGCAGATCAGGAAATTGAGACACATAAAGATTAAGAAGTTTACTCAAGATTACTGTTACTACATTATGCTGCCTCCTAGAAATATGTTGGCTATTACTTTCAAGGGAGATAGGATGTTAAAGGACTGGGAGATGTCTAAAAAGTGGGGGAGGGAGGATGCCAGGAATGGGAAAAGGGAAAGGGAGAGTTGTCTAAGCCCAGGAGTTTGTTGGTCAGAGGAGTGGAGGTTCGAAGGATAAGATCCTAGAATTCTGAAGCGAAGAGTTCAGAAATTACTGAATGGAGAGAAGTGGGCAGCAGAGGAGAGGCAGAGCCTAAGGTTGGAGGGAAAACCTGGACCCAAATGACAAGGTTAAAGGGAGAATCAGGGTGAGATTACTGAAGCACAATCCAAAACAGGTAGCTATAGGCTTGGGCTGGCAAGAAAAACTTGCCTGGATTCAGGGTGGAATGGAAGAAGCTGAGCAATTGGTAAAAGGGAGGTTTGCAGTCCCTTCTCCCTTACCTGCATCTGGTGGCAGGTAGAAGACGAAGATGGCCAGGAGAGTGATGAGGATGCACGGCGCAATGACGTTGACCAGGTAGAAGAGAGGCTTCCGCCGAATGATGAGGTAGAAGGTGACTTCTTGACGCTGTCCGTCCCCCCTGCCCCTAGGATCCACTGGAGGCTGAATTAGCCGAGAAGGCTTGTGGATAATCTCCCATTGGCCATTCTCTGGGAGGAGGGGAGGAAGTACAGCAGAAGAAGACAGAGGTGGGATTTCCTTGCCGTGCCCAGTATGGCTTTCTCTGCCACATCCTAGACCTCAGGGGTTGATATGATAAGGAGCTAACTGTGGACACTGGGTTGGGCAGCCCATCTCTAATAAACTTGAACAAGTCTCAGTTTCCATATCTGTAAAATGTAGATGGTCATACCTATCTTGCTGACCCCACAGGATTGTAGTGGGTGTCACAGACAGGTATATCTATCAGCCTGTTAGAAGCTGGAAATCATAAAGCCCATAGATATGGTAGCCATGCCTACTCACCAATGAAGGTCCCTTCATGAATGTGCACTTCCTGCTGCTCTTGCCCATCAGGATCCAAGCCATTCTGCAGGCTGACCTCTGAGCTGTCATAGCTATAGGAACTGAACACCATGGTGCAGTTCTGCCAGTCAAAGGGGAAGTAGGTGACCTAGATGGAGTTGGGAGTCACTAGAGCTGCCAGAAAACTGGTTGGGGTTGAGGGTGTTGGGGAGGTCACAGGGCAGATAGGAGTCAAAAGATATGGGGCACCAGGGAATAGGCACCACCAAGGGGGGCCACAGGGAGGTGGGGGCACAGAGGAATTGTAAGGTTATTAGGAGGGGCCATGGGCAATGGAGGGGGATCGCTGAGGAAGACTGGAAATGAAAGTGTACAGAGAAGATGAAACTCAACTAAAAATTGGGAAGGCAAGAGAGATGTGAGGGTCATGGGGGACAATGGAGGAGGACTGGGAGTCGCGGGGTAATCGGGATGTTTCAAGAGAGGCAGCGTTTCTAAGAGCTTTGGGCTTCCCAGGCGGAGCCTAGGGACCTGGATGCTGCAGCTGCTGCGATAGATGCCCGGAGGCTGCCAGCGCAAGGAGCCGTCGGAGGACACCACGACGTTAATGTCCAGAGCGAAGTCAAAATTTCCGTCATTGCTGCAGGAAAGGAATCTCGCCTGGATTCAGGCTCCGCCCTCCTAATGCCCCACCCCTCCAGAGGCCCGGTCCACAAGATCCTACTTGTTTAGCAGCACCACGTCTGGTAGCCACACGGATTCAGCCGTAATGCGGAGTGAATCGATACCCTCGTGTTCCGCAGGGTCCCAGCTCAGCCTGTAGTCCGTCCACGCCTAAGGAAACAGAGGCTGAGGGGCTGTCCGCAGGAACTTGGGATACCGGAAGGAAGCCCGGGAAAAGAATGCGAGGAGGCTAGCAGCACAGGTATAGGCTCTGGTTCTGGAGGCCGGAGTTCTGATTCCGGATCCACCTTCATTAGTTGGACCCCATCAGCTAAGTTTCCCTTCCCTCACACTGGGCCCCCAACTTTTAGTCTGTGAAAATGAGGAGTTTGCACTACATATCCTCTAAAACAGTTTTTCAAACTGCAATTCGCGACCTTACCGGGGTAAGTCTGGGCGTCAAACGGACAATTATTGGGCCAGGGGTTGTGGTAAGGAATCAAATTAGTTGCCCCAAACCAGTGTTAAAAAAAAAGGAATGGTTTTCTGAAAGTTTTGTTTCAGTTATAAATGTGTCATCTGAGATTATGATGCAAAAAATATTCTTACTGGGTCAGACATTCAAGGAAATTGTAAAGGCAGAACGCCCTTTCCCACCCCGTGGGGGTCTCCGTACCAGGTCTAAGTACACCTTTGTGCTCATCTCCTCATCCTTCTCGTTCTAAAAGGGAAAAGGTTAAAGGGTGAGGTGAGTGGAGAGGAAAAAGTGGACTTGGCTGATCAAGCTTCGTCGGAAACTCCCCTTTTTCTGAGTCCCACCCTCTTGGGTCCAAGCCCCCCCTTCTAAGACGTCGCGTCATGTTTAAGCCCCACCTCTATCTCCGAGGTCTGTACTCCAGCGGTCTATACGGCCAATCAATTAATCTACAGGTCCTGCCCCCATGCCGGCCCTCCCCCTGGTTCTGTCCCACAGCCCATAATTCACTCAACCCAGAATCTCTGGTTGCTGTGGTTTATTGAACCTGTTCTGCACCAAGGTCCGCCCCGTGCCCGTGACCCCGCCCCAAGACCTGCCCCCCAGCCATAAGCGACCCCCAGCTTCACTTCAAGATCCACCCAAAGGCCTGTTCGTTAACCTACTCAGCTCTACGACTTTCAGGTCCAGCAGCCTTGCCCACAGCGTGTCCATTGGTTTGATTGTAACCCAATCCGGGCTAACGACCGCGTCTTTCGCCCTGCCTGGTCTCGCCCCAGGCCCCGCCCCAGGCCCCGCCCCCAGCCGACAATCCCTGGGGCCTTGCCTAAAGCCACGCCCCCCAATTGGCCTGACTTCCAAACCCTTGTGCACCCTCACCAGGCTGATGAGTTGCGCTAGGCTGAGACCGATGCTGACCCAGACGCGGTCTCCCACGTCCCGTGCCGGCCGCACAGAGCTATCGTAGCCCGAGAAAAGTTTCTCGAGGAGCCGGCCCTCCGCCGGCGAGCCACGGACGCCTGCAAGAGGGAATACTAAGTGAAGCCATGGGGCCCGGCCACAACCCCTGGCCCAATAATTGTCCGTTTGACGCCCAGACTTACCCCGGACGAGCGGCGCCCCCAGGGCCCCCAGCAGCAGCAGCGCCCCTAGGGTCATATCCCAGCCGTTTTGCTCAGTCACTTCGCTGACTGAGCCACCGGGACAACCAGCGCAGGGGAAGTGACGAGGCGCCCAGGAATGTGCACCTGTTGTTGGGGGGGGCAGCCGCCAGCCCACCCGCTCCGCCCCTGGGACTTGGTCCCGCCCCAAGCAACTGCCAATGCCCGCCACCCACAGATGACAGACAATACTTGAGTTGTATAAATCGTCTTTAATTGAGAGCATGGAGTGGGGACTCCATCCCTTGAGAGCAAACCCAGGAGATGGGTGGGGCCTGAGCGGGGTCTGTGTGGGAGAGGGGAGTACCCACTCCTCTTGTAACAAGCCAGAAGTAGAAAGAGCCTGAGGAAAAGTGGCCGGCCTCTGAGCCCTAGCCCCTTCCTTTAGGACCTCCTCAGTCTACCCTGCCCAAGTCAGATGCTGTTCAGAGTCTCCCTCCTAGTTCCTGGTGGGTTTCTGGTCTTTTTCAGGCCTGCCCCTACCTCTCCATGCTTTTCAGAGAAATCTAGTCAGGCGCTTTTTGGGTACTTAAAACCCAGCTAAGATTATAAGCTGCAAGGTAAAGAAAGTTCTATTCAGTTAGAAGCTCTGAGGGTATATGAGGTCTAGAGCCTAAGAGGCCCTCACCCTCCTTAGCCTAACCTATAGGGGAAAGGGGTGGGACTTATTGCTGAATTGGGTCTCCTCACTGGTGTTTAAATCTATGTCCCATTTGTCCTTTTCATTCTAGACCCATTACCCAAAGACCTCAGCTTTAAAGGGGATCTGGAAGGAATCCTACAGAGGTAGCTAAGTGTTCACGGCACTCCAATCTAGGCACAGGTCCAATCATGCCATGGGTTTAGTCCCTTCCCCATCCCAGCTTCCCCACTTGAGCCAAGGATTCCTCCTAAAACTCCTCTGCCCTTCCTCATATTCTGTTTCCCTGTCAGGACCCCAGATGAGCTGCAGGAGCTAGAAATTGCATGTAAAAAATAAGGTCTGCATTCTATAGGAAGAATAAGATTTTTAGAAAATCTAGGAAAAACAAGAAAGAGGTTCTTGATTCATCCCGAGTTTAGTTCTTTATGAATCATAGCTGGGTCCTTTCCAGAGCTTGTTTTTAATAGATACACTAGAGAAGGTGGGAGGGTGAATCTAGAAATTACTCTAGAGCAATAATATGGCTATATAGGTCCCAATTCCATCCAGGAAGAAAGGGCTGAGAGTTGTGGTCTATGTCCTAGAGCTGAGATTCAGATGGAAGTATGGCGCCATATGTGTCTAGAACACCATGCTCTAGAACTGGGTTTTTTTGAAAGTTAAACCTGTGGTGATCTGAGACTAGTACCAGTTTAGACCAAGGCCAACAGCTGGAACAGGGCTCAAATCTAGCCTCCCTCTACTTAGAAATCAAGGGTCCATCTGGGTCAAGGACAGAAGCTTGATGGATCCAGAACAGCCTGGCAGCATGCCTGCATTCCAGCACAGAGCCTTCATGAAGAAATGGCCCTGGCTGGGGTGCCTGGTATTCCAGAACCTGTTCAGAACATGGCAGAAGGTGGAGTAGGGGACAAAGAAAACTAATCCTGAGCTCCAGTGGACCTATAAATCTATGGCTCAGTGGCAATGAAGAGGGCATACGGTTCCGGGAACTGGCTGATCCCCGGGTGGGATGTATTTATGCCCTGGTTCCATCAGTTTGGAAACACCCAGCGCCATCTCAGGAAAAGGCTTTGGGGTTATGTGAGTGTGGAAGGAAAGATGTGATCAGCCAGGACCATTTTCAGACATCCCCTTTTCTGACCCCATCCCAGGCCCAGGGATCTTGCAGCCCCAGAAGTCACAGCCAGCCCCTGGGCTCCCTCAGGGTAGAGCACCTGGTAGGACTTGGCTGCTCAGGGCATGAGTGTGGCTGCAGGGGTGAGAGCAGGGGCAGGAACAGGGCTGGGAGACAGGCTATGGTGGTGGCTGGCTCAGTGCAAGTGCAGGGAGCCTCCAGTCCAGGGGGCTTTCAGGGGGCAGGGGGACTGGAAGGGGAGGTCTCAGGGACACTGTGGAGAGAAGGCTCCCGGTACATGGCCACTGTGAAGGGGAGAGAGAGGAGCAGGAAGAAGAGTTAGGCACAGAGAGACTAGGCAGAATCACAGCTCTGAAAGGGCTCCCTTCCCCTATACTCATCCTCTGGGAACCCCAACCCATACAAGGAGAGTTCCCCAAAGGCCAGAGCCTTTCTGGCTTGAACTGTCAATACAGGTGTCCTCTTAACACTTGTAGCCCCTGAACCACGTGTCACAAAATGTCCATGTCAAAATCAATACCCTCCCATGTGGCCTACCTTATCTGGAGTCCATACTCACCCTCCAGGAGCTTGGGCACAAAGTGGGCAGCTGCCTTGGTCTTCTTGACTCGATTTCCCTTCATGACTTGGCCCTCCTTGTCCAGGCCCAGGTACCAGGCCCGGCCAGAATGGCACTGGCGATAGAGGGCAGAGGCATATAGGACATAGTAATTCTCAAAGACACACTCCTTAAAGCGACACTCAGCTGTGAAATGTGGCTGAGGAGACAAAGACCCAGAAAGGCACATATAGTCAGAGAAACCAAAAGACACATTACTGGACAGAAGAGAGCCCTGGGAAGAACAAGCCAGGATGTAATCTATACATTTTGGCTAGGAGGGCCAACTTCTGAGTCCATGCAGGAACTGAAAGAAAAGGGGATGAGGAGGAGTCTGGAAGGCTCCTGGGGGTTAGGAACTAGATTTTGGCAGGCCCTAGAATAAGAAGATAACTTCTCTCCACTCTATTTCCAATTTCTCATCATCCCCTATCCTGAATGACTTGGGAAGCGAATAATAATGAAGTCTGGAGGAGGAAGGATGAGAAATGGGGCCCTAAAAGGCTGAAAGAATTGGACATTCAAAGAGTCTGGGGCATTTGGGGGCCTGTGTGAGGAGGAGGGGTGGGAATGACCCCAGAGGAGGATCTCTGCAGTGAGCAGACATGACAGGACATCAGCAAGAGCTGGAGGGAGAGGGAATCCTGAGCTGTAAAATATCTGTACTTGGGAAGATTGGAGCTGATGGGGAGGTCCCCAAACCCCAGGCCCCTCAGCCTCATGGTCTCACCGAGCTGTAGAGCAGCCCCTCAGCATTCATAGCCATGTAGTGGCCCAGCTTGGCACTCTGGATGGTGACCACACGAAGGCCCACGGGGATCAGGTTGAAGTGGGCTGGGAGTGGAGAAAAGGGGGCATCAGTACTGCAGGCCTCAAACCCTCAGCAGAGCCCCCCATTTCAGTTCCACTTCTTCCCTTGAGGCCCAAGAAGCCAGAATGAAAACAACAAAAACTGAAGTGGAAATAGGATTGTCATCTCCTATCCTCACTCTCCCCATTCCCACCCAGCAGCTGGCTTCCCCTCTCACTGAAAGAGCTGGTGTCCTCTGGGGTGCCCTGGATGCTCCCATCGGGATTCGCCTGAAGGTAGAAACCCTGGCGGCAGAACAGTTTGGTGACGATGCCTTTGAGTTGAGGCTCTGGAGAGAGAGACATTCATCTTCGAAAATGACATCTCTGTTCCCAGAAACAATCCTACACTTGACGGGATCAGAGGAAAGAAGGGAGAATGGAGGAAAGGAAGAGGGTCCCAGAGCCCTCTCCAAGCAAGCTCTCTCCCACTTCTCTTTGACTCCTGAGGAATCTGGGATGTGGGTCCTTCTGCTTTCTCTTTACTCCCAACTTTCAGATTAATTTATTGAAATCTATTTAAATGGCTTAATTCCTACTTTACAGCTCAACCAGAAAGAGAGTAGGGGAGAAAAGGGGATAGGAAGGGGTTAGATACATCAAAAGGCAAGAGGACAGAAGAAGATGGGAAGGGCTGCAGAAGTGGTAGTGGGTTTGCAAATGTGGCGGGGGTGGGGGGGTAGCAAGGTGACCACAGGATAGGGGCATAGGGGCGCCCCCTCAGGAATGGGAGTGGGACTGGGTCTGATGCTGACTCAGCACCTGCTGCTGCGGCTGCAGCTCTCTTGGCGCGGGCCTCCGCTTGACTCAGCACCGGCCTGACACTGACCCATCTGTCCGTCTGTCTGTCGTCTATCAGTCCGTTGGCTCAGCCTCTCCCCTTCAGTCAGGTAACCGGGCTAGGGTTGGGGGGGTCGTTCGGTACCAAGTCAAGGAAATGGGGGGAGGGGGAGGGAGACTAAGAGGCAGGCTGAGTCACATGGGGGCCCGGTCCCACTCAGTGGGTGGGCTGAGGACCGTACCACTATGGAGGGTCGGCGGCGGGGTGAGGCGGGCGCGAGGGGGCTACCCCTAGGGAGCTGGTAGCGGGCGGGGGCGGGGCCAGAGGGATCCTGCCTGCAGTACCTGGACGGGGACCACACGCTAACCCTCACAATGCTCCTTCCCCGTCGCTTGCTCTCGGCCGACTTCCCTCTACCTCCTTGTAGGTGGTACGACCCCCCAAGTCGCCGCGCGGGTCTACAGGCTTTACGGTGTCAAGGAGTTCCTCGCGGCAAAGGGTCCCCTAAGCATGTGAGGCCCGACTGCAGAGCCGTGTAGTGGTATAGGGGGTGCCCATCTCCCTTGCTGAAGCGCAGGTCACAGAGGGGCGGGCCGGCGAGGTTGCTGCAAGGACACCCGGGGGAGACCTGGGGAGATTGGCGCCAAACCAGGCAAGCTCGGCCAGGAGGAACCGAGCCAAGGCGTGGAGGAGCTGGAGAACCGGAGCGGGGGCGGGGCTGCCGGAGCCGCAGAAACCCTCGGGGTGACCGAAACGTTCGGAACCCCCAGGCCCCTCCGCTTGGGATTGAAAGAATCGCGAGAGCCGGCACGTAGACAGAGGACGGTGGGGGTGGGGACTCCTGTGTTGGGCGGGGGTGGGGGAAAGTTCGGGGGACGAGAAGGAGCGGCGAGGCTTCGGGGCCCCAGACTTAGCCCCTCAAGCCTTCCCTTGCTCTCGAAAGCAAGGAAACTGAGGCATACCCTTGCAGAGACTTTGTTGTCCTGGCTCACTCCCTTTCACTTGCGGAGAGCCCCCCTCAGTTGGGCCCTATTCTTCCAAATCCCTGGCCTCAGCCTCCCAGGCC